AAAAAAAAAAAAAAAAAGAACAACAAAATATAGTAGTGGGACTGGTGTAGGATAATCACTCCTATTCCAGAAAGAAAAAAAAGGGGGTAACTAATGTCCCAATTTAAGTCGAGAATGCAGTAGAGAAACGTTAGGTCTGTCTTCTAGAGAATAATTTCCTTTGACTCCCAGGCCCTATGTCCTGGGGCACACTGGGGTGGGACTTGGGCCATCAAAGCTGTACGCAGCTCCATTTCTATGGCTTTGCTAGGCATAAAGTCCACCCAGAGTCTCAACTTTGCTGGCTGGATTTACGTACTGACAGGTCCTGCACTTCTGGTGTCTTGAGGTACTATCCCCCATCTGAGGCTGCAGGCACCCTGTCCTAGAGAGACTCTTTGTGATGGCCTTGCCCTATGGAAAGTCTCTGCTTGGTCTCTCAAGCTATCTCTAACATCCTTTGAAATCTAAATGGAGTCTGCCATGGCCCCCTAGCTTTTAAAGGAATTAATTTATATTATTATGGGCGCTGAAAAGTCCCTTAACAGACTTTATGCAAGATGGAGAGCCTAGAATGTTGGTAGCATAGTTAAACCCACATCCTAAAGAAAATACAGCCTGAGAAACCAGGAGGCCCCTGGTACCACTCCTGGGGTCTAGCGTCCAATAACCAGAAGTCCTGATGTTAAGAACGGGAAAAGGGTATCCCCACTCCAGGAGACAGAGGAAGGAAACTGCCTTTCTTCTGCCTCTTTTGTTCCATCCAGGCCCCAAGCTGATTGTGTGCTGACCACTCATGTTGAAGGCAGCTTTTGCATACCCCAGTTTCCTACAGAAAGTGACACCCAGAAATAATGCTTTGCCAGTTCTCTAGGTGTTCCATAATTGAGTCAAGTTGATACCTACAATTAACCATCACAACTCCCAATGAGCTATGACCAGAAGTTGAAAAAGGGACTGCATAATCCTCCTTTGGTGATGTCAGGATGAGGTGCCTGCTCACCGTCTGATGCTGGGGGAACCCAGTGACATAGAATTGTTCTTGCAGGCTGCCAGCTATGAAGTCTGCTTGGGGATACTCAGCCCCATGGTCTCAGACTTTTTCTCGTCTCTGTTACAGTTCCTACAATCGATGGGTTGCGTCATGTGGTGGTGCCTGGAAGGCTGTGCCCACAGTTTCTTCAGTTAGCCAGTGCCAACACTGCCCGGGGAGTAGAAACCTGTGGAATTCTCTGTGGAAAACTGGTAAAAACAAACAAATAACCTTTTGTGAACTGAGACTGTCTTCTTCTTGGGCTGTGTGACTCAGAGAACATATTTGGGGTCAGTTATGCTTTATGCCAGTCCCTTCACAGAAGGAACCTAGTACTACACATAATATAGTCCCTTTGATTTGGTGGATGTATTTGGTTGTTTTTCAGAGTCTCGAGTTCAGCTGATTACTTTAACGCTGTTTTTAGAAATGCTAACCTTAGTGAAAGATCCAGTCATACGTATAGATCATCTGAGCACCTACTTTATGGTAGGACTTGGGGATTTAAGGCGTAGAGCATGAGATGTTATTGAAACATCTGGTGAATGTTTAATTTTTTTAAAAAATTACTACAGGGGGCCAGGGAGATAGCTCAGTAGAATAAGTGCTTGCCTGGTAAACACAAGGGCCTGAGTTCAATCCCCGGTTCTGCCAAAAAATAAGATAAAATAAAATGAAAATGAAAAAATTACTACAATAAAAGACATGTTGCTGTTAATCCCTCCAAAATACCCCACACACACTTTGAATATACTGCAAACTGCTTCAGGAAGTGGTAAGAATAAGTGTGTTTAAGACAAGACAGAGTGCTTTGAGGCAGATGAATGGCAATGTATCTTTTGCTGTAATTTTTTATTTAACATTCACTGTAGATTTTGATGACCCCCATATGTGTCCACAAAACATGTCCATTCACTTTGGAGAAATGGAAGACATATACCAAAAAATGAAAAGCATGCTAAGTAGTATGTATAATATGAGTTCCAGGAATTTTGAGGAAGGGTCACTGAATGAAAATACGTAAAGGACTGGTTATTAACCCCCAGGTGCATCATGGATGAAGTACTTGAGTTTTAAAGAAGAAGACTGGGGCTGGGGCAATAGCTCAATGGCATAAGTGCCTGCCTGGCAAGTGGAAGTTCCAGAGTTTGATCCCTGATACAGCAAAAAATAAATAAGTAGAGAAAAAAAGAAAGAAAGGAAGGCAGTGAAAGCAAAACTCGCTTTAGTTGTGAACAAGGCTGTGGTGTTTCCAGGCTCTCCCTCATGGAGTTCTAAGGTTGGTCTCAGCATCTGTCACTTCACAGCGCACCCAACAATGCACATGAGCAGCCAAGGTGAACCCACACGGTGAGGGGTTCATAGAACACAGAAGAGACCCACACTGGGATGGAAGGGGCCTTCCCAGTGTAGGTGTCTAACTCTTCACTATTAGAGACAGTGGGGTTTTAAGAGTGTCTGGGCATCGTGATGAGTTGTTTTCTCCTTTGGCAGATGAGGAATGAATTTACCATTACCCACGTGCTCATCCCCAAGCAAAGTGCTGGGTCCGATTATTGCAACACAGAGAATGAAGAAGAACTCTTTCTCATACAGGACCAACAGGGCCTCATCACACTGGGCTGGATTCATGTAAGCAAATCTGAAAGAAGGGCTTGTCTTCTCTTTTCATTGTGAGAGAAGCACATTGCTTGCTGCCTTTTTTTTCTTTGGCACAGGGTCTCACTGTGTAGTTCGGGCTGGCCTCAAACTCACTGTGTAGCCCAGGCTCACAGGTCTTCCTGAGTGCTGGGATTGCAGATGCGTACTGCCACAGCCAGCTCACTTGTCTCTTTCTTGGAACAAAGTAAAGCAAATCCAGATTTTGTATTGTTTTTCCCTCAAAGATACTTGACTGCTTACACTCCAGTTTTGATTTCTGAGTACTGCATAGGGTTTTTACACTTTTTAAGTCTTTTGTTTATTTTTAATAAAAATAAATTGGTCTTTCTAAAGCTTCGATTTCCCATTGAATGTGAATGTTAATAAGATGGTGGCCTAAAATATATGTTTTGGTCATAGAAACTATGCCAGTACAGTGTGCTGTATACACATAATACTCCTAAAAGATACATAAATCAGAATATTTTAAATGAACTAAGGAAGTTAATCAGATGATTATATTCTGTACCTTTGTGTAAACCAGAACTTCCACAAATACACGTTTGCAAAACTTACAGAGACTTCGGGTAATGTTCCAGTAAATATATTTCCTTCTCTAAAGATTATTTCTTGGGGCCGGGGAGATGGCTCAGTGGAATAAGTGCTTCCCTGGCAAGCGCAAGGGCCTGAGTTCAATCCCTGGTTCCGCAAAAAAAAAAGAGAGAGAAAGATTATTTCTTAACTGTTTTCTGTTGCTTCCAACCCCTCACTCACAGACTAAACTGCTATTCATGTGTGAGATGTATGAGTTGCTGCCAAATAAATTGGCTTATTTCTGATTTAGGAAGATTGCATATAATCGTATGTTAGAACAAAAAACACTGACCTGTGAGATGGTCTCATGTGCTTTCATCCTTTCTTCAGTTCAATTATAGAAGTATTTACTGATTTGCCTACTATTCTTCAGCCCCTCACCATTGTAGATGGGGATGGAAAATTTACCACCTATCTGCAAGGGGACACAAGGGTCTATAAAACATGACTTTAGTCTCACAAAAGAAAATTACACAAATAGACAATGTACAACTCATCCCATGAAGTAGAGTATGCCGAGGGCCCCTAGAGGTGCCCAGTAGGGCCTGTACGATTCAGATGGAGAGATTGTACCCAGTGTGCTTAACGGGAATTGTGACCAGGTGGGCCAAGGGGAGCTCTGATCAGGGCAGTGATATGACCGAAGTTCTGCTTTAGGAAACTTGAAGGCAATTGAAGGTAGGATGAAAGGGAAAGATCATTGTAGAGGCTAGTGTGGTGATAAAGTCGAGTGAGCTGAGAGTTAGGATGATGGCATTGTGTTTGAGAAGGAGGAGGTGATGGCAGGGCTTCAGAGAAATTAGGGAATGAATAATAAAGGATAATGAGTAAGACTCAGTGATGACTCAAAGATTTCAGGCCTGGCTCATGGGGGTGGCTGTGATCTGCTCCTAAGCAGACAAAGGGGATGCAGAAGGAGGACTGACTGTAGGAGCAGGGTTCAGTTCAGAGCATGTTGATTATAAGGGATTTATGAGCCATCAGGTTGTTGGAGGTAGTTACCAGATGGTTGGGGCCAGGTACATGGAAGCAAGTTCAAAGCAGGAGGCAGATCTGGGAGGCTTCTGCCCTGAGCTGGCCTTGAACATCAGCAAGGAGAAGTGAGAGCAAGAGGAGAGATTTACTGACAAGCTGGGACACAGGCTGAGGAGATGTTGGTAGTAAAACAGATGTGTGAGAAGGTAAGGTCCATGTTAGGGCACAGAAACCACAATGGGATAAGGAATTTCAGGATACTAACTGTGCCACATAATACAGAGAACTCTGACCTGGTGAAGTCCTGGACCTGGGAGAAGCCACTGATGTTGGTTACTGGGTTTTAGGCAGTTATGGGGATAGACTGTAAGGGTTAAGTCATGGGGATTGAGGTTGTGGCAACAGTGAAGTGAGCCCTGCCGTGTTGAGTAGCTTAGCTCCATAGGAAGGTATAGAGATGACGTGCTGATTTGAACCTAAACTAGACATGCACTTGAGTGAATCCTGAAATAACATCTATGGAAGTGAGGAAGTAGGATGCTGCCAGGGACCTTCTCCTACCCAGTCCTATTTCCTTGTTGGAAAAAGTGAACCTTCTGCTTTTGTCATCATCCCTTCCTTGCTTTATTTATAGAGTGCCACCTACATGTGTGTCTCTAAACACCACAGTTTAACTTTACTTGGTTTTGACCTTTTTATAAGTGGAACTGTACAATATGTGTTTTTTATTTGTTCTTTTATTTGGCCTTTTGAAGGTACACCCATATTCTAGGTTGTGGTTGTCTGAATGTATTTTTATTTTCAGTAAGCTAGTGGAGGAGGGGTATCAGGGCCAGGGAAGCAAGGTAAAATGATAGCAGGAGGAGAGTATCAGATGCGAGGGACAGAGGGAGTTCTTCTTGCTATGGGAGAGAAAACACCTGTTCCTCCAAGACAGGATTAAAAGAAGAAAGAGATACAGAGAGTTCTGAAATATTTGGAGAAGTCAGGAGTACTCATTTCAGACCAGCTCTCTTGATTTTGGAGTCCAGGTCTGCTACTAGAGATGGATTTAGAAGCTGGAGGAGTTGCGGAAAGTTTGGGATAATTACTATTTAGACTTCAAGTAAAACTTGGCCACAAATAAAGGTCTATGTATCATTGAGTGGCCAACTGTGAACAAATTTAGAATGTAAGTTGACAGTAATTGAAGTATCCCCCCCCCATGATATTTCTACACCAATAGAAATTCCTACTTTGAGATTTAAAAAAAAAAAAAAGCAGACAATAAGTTTTGTTCAGACCTTAAAATTTCAGGAGAGTGCAAAAAATCAGTTCTTCCTTCTGTACCTTACCAACTATAAATCAGCTTCCCTGGGCCAAAACTTTGCATGGTCAAATATTGATCATAAAAGTATTGGTAACCCCACCACAACCAGTCCTGGGGATGACCTCTGCCTTCTCCCCTCCTCTACCTCCTATTTCTCCACTATGTCTTCTCTTGCTCCTCCCCTATCTCCACCTCCTCCTCCTCCATATCTTCCACTTCCTCCTCTACCTCCTTCTCTTCCTTCTCTCCCCCATCCTCCATGGTTCTTCCTCTTCTCTTCCCTTTCTTCCTTTCCCTTCCCTTCCCCTCCCCTCCTCCTCCACATCCTCTCCTTCCCCCTCCTCCTCCCTCTAGATCCTCCATCTCCTCCTCCCCCTCCTCCTCTCCCTCCACATCCTCCTCTTCCCCCTGTCCTCTCCACGTCCTCTACCTCCTCCTCCCTTGTCCTCCACCTCCTCCACCTCCTCCTCCCTCTCCCTGCCCCCATGTCAGCCCCCCTTAGTCTCCATTGCTCTTTCTTGTGGCTTTTGTGCTCCTGTCCAGTCACTCAGTGGCTCCTCAGCATTCACCCTCCTTGCTCACTCCACTGCTTTGCCATGCTCTTGTTTCGTTAAGAAAGTGCCTTTCTCAATCCATAGTAGACACAGTGACTATCGCTGTTGTCCAAGAAACTTAAATGGATCTGAGAAAGGAAAGTGTGAAGAAGGCATAGTAGCTTAGAGGGAGCTGGGATAGCAAAACAAGGGCTTGTTTTTTTTATTCAATGTCAGTTATTTACCAAATGCCTGTTGTATCTCTTCACTATCTTTTAAGCCACCCAACTATAGATTTTAGCTTTGGTTGGCTGATGTAGGCCTCTTTTGCACCAAAGTTCTTATACACCCTCTGAGGACCCAAGTGGATCACAATTTTGCTCCACAAACCTCTTCTACTCTTCATAAGCTCGTCTCAGCATTCTGTGGAGTGATGCTTTGCAGATAAGACTGCAGGTGAGAATCACTTAGTGAGCTTTTAAGAAGTGTTCAGTCTCTTGATAGCTACTTCCAGGAAGGGGTACAGGGGACTGTGCACTTGACAAGCTTCTCAGAAGCTTCAAGTTTTGCACAGCACATGAAAACACTGGTCAGTTGTACCTATTTATTTTCTGTGCTTTTTCAGTCAGTGAAGGTTGATGTCCTTTTTGAGTCATGTTGGGTTTTACTTTTTCCATCCTTACTGAGAATCACACCCCCTCTGAGACAAACGTAAGTCTATATAGTTGTCTGTCTTGACATAATATACCTATTAATAAAACATGACTAATTGGGAATGAATAAAGTGAATGCCAATATAGATGTTGCTTTAACTGACTGCCCTCAGAGTTCAACATCTTGTTCTTCCAAAGAAGCTGTCGTCTTTACCGATTTAATCAGTCTGATGCATTACCCACGGAACAACTTTTGCCAGTAGCCTTATGCTTGACCTTTTACCAACACTTCTCTTGAGAAGAATTATTCATCTAACTGTGCCTTAGTAGGACCTTGACTTTCATCACATTGAAATATTGGGCAGCATGTACCATCTGCTGTAGGATGAGTGACCTACATGGGTATAGAGAGAGCTCACTAGGAGTCTGTTAGAAACACTAGAGAGACTCTAGAACAGTCAAAGCTTGAATCATCTAGACAGATGCTCACACTGCTCAAGAAGTACCCAGCGCCATTCTCATGCTGTTCACCATTGTTTCCATTTGTTTGTTTGGTTGGTTGGTTTTGAGATACAGTTTCACTAAGTAATCCAGACTGGCCTTGTACCTACTGTGTAGCCCAGGCTGGCCTTGAACTCATGCAGTTCCTCCTGTCTCGGCCTCACTACCCAGCCAAAAGAAATGTAATGCTAAGCCCTGAAAAGTGCACATATTATCCTAACTCAGTTACAAAAAAAGATAAGAAATGGGATGACAGTGTGCACCCCCACACCTGGCCGCCATTCTCCTACTTACTTTATCCATGGATGTCCATCATGATAACAGCTTCAGTTCTGTGGATCCCAGAGTGAATTCAAAGAACAGGAGGCCAGAGCAGAAAACATACAAATAGTCTCTTCCTATCTCTGACCCCCAGACATTGGTGTCTTTGTGCTTCTCCACTCCTGCTGGGCCTTCAATCCTTGTTCCACAGGGATCCTTGGTTGTCCCCACTGCCCTGCCAGCACACTGGGCTCACCTCTTGTCTTCACACTTGAAAGCAGCAGTTATTCTCACTTGTCTTCTCCCTGTCACACCTGAGACCCAGCCCCACCCCTACTCCCCACCACATACCTGTCACACCTGAGACTCAGCTCCACCCCCCCAACCCCACCCCCACATACCTGTCACACCTGAGATACAGTCTATCCAGGTATCCATATTCTTGACTTTCACAAAGCTAGTCTCCACACCCCAGGCCTGTCTCCTGTTCTTATGCAAGAGAGGCCATTCCTGGCCTACTGACTCTGCCACGCAGGTCTCATACAACCCTGCCACACCGATGTCAGTGTCAGCATTTCCACACCTACCCCTCTCCTCATGTGTCTCTGTACCCATAATACCTTCCACTCCCTGGACAGAGATTCCTCACAAGAATCCACACCTGAATGCCAACATGGGTGTGAAAGTCCTGTGCATAACCTAGTGTGGGCCTCCTAGTCATTTTCCAGGCATGTGGACCACAATGTTGACTTCTGCCTTGTTCATTCTGACCTTGGAGTTCAGTTCATCTCCACTCTGCAATAGTCTTCAGCTGTCAACATTACATATCAATAGGTATTTCCCTCACGAAGTCCCAGATGGGGCTTGAACTTGACCCCCTCCATGCTCCACTAGTTTAATGGCTTCCCACTTAGCCTTTGCTTTGATACCTCCCCTCCCCAGGCTTTGTAGTCTATACCTCATCACCCAGCCAAAAATTTAAGAACCCATCAGACTGCATGAACCAGTGAGATTGGAGTTCCCTTTATAAACAGTACAGACAGAAGTTTTCTCCTTTCTGTTCTCTACTCCTCTCCCCTCTGCAAGAAGTCAAAGCTGCCCAACATCTCCACTGTCTTGAATGAGAAGCAAGAAACTTTAAATAATTTTATTGAGAAACAAATAGCAATGAGACAGTTTCAAAACCGATTAGTAGGACAGTTTCATTAATTAATACCTTGCATATTGTTGTCCTTGTAGTGGTTATTCATGGTACAAGATACAGACATGATATCCTGTCAAAACATTCTTAGTACAAATCTTTCTTCTCATTGAATTAAGAGAAAGTAGCTGTATATCTATCCTAACTATTTTGTATATACAGATACAAAATGATCCTTCATTTATGTCCCTTTTTTTGTTTTGTTTTGTCAGAGATAAGTATTCCATTGCCATTTAAATATTGTAGGTGCATGAATTCAGCAAAATAATTCAATATAGAAGAAACTTTCAATCTTCTTGGTCTTCAGTTTATCCTTGGTTGCTGAGAAGGTTGTATGAGTAAATTAAATGAATATACATGTGATTTCATATCTTCTCTGTAACTGAGTTAGGATCATATGTGCACTTTCCAGGGTTTAACATTTCTTTCAGACATAACTCACACTGTCCATCAGGACTCCCACGAAATCCCAGGGCAGGGTTCTGCTCAGTGTTTTTGCGTATCTAATATATCCAGTCACTCAGGAACTAAAATGGTATCAGCCTACATGGCTTTCCGGAAAAACCCTCACCTACGTAGCAGCCACTCTGTCCAATGCATTAAATATAGGTTACTTTATTTTCTTAGTCGCTTTCATCCTCTTGTCCTTTTTCACTGCATTCCTCACTACAAACACTTCTTCCAGCCTCCAAAACTGTCTTATGCCTGTTAGTCTGTAAACTTCTATTTATTTTATTCTTTGTTTTCTAGCACTTTATAACGGGAACATACCTTTTGCTTTTTGACAAAAATATATGATGTACAACAGGGTGTTTTGAAACAAGCACACGAATCTCTTCATATGTGTTATACTAGTTTACAAAGCTGGAAAAAAATAGCTTATCATGAACTTCAGGGGTATCCATCTTAACTGCAAATATCTTTGTATATACTTGCAGAGGAGGTTGGGTCCAGCGGGTGGGAACTCCCTGGGCCTACCTCCCTTCGTGGGCCTGCTGTGGTGGTTCGCGCTCACAGGAGTTCTTGGCTTGTTCTTTCTTCTCAGACGCATCCCACACAGACTGCCTTTCTTTCCAGTGTTGACCTGCACACTCACTGCTCCTACCAGATGATGTTGCCAGAGTCAATAGCCATCGTCTGCTCCCCCAAGTTCCAGGAGTGAGTACCCGCCACGCCATGCTTCGGGCTGTCATGAGGAAGTAGTGGGGAAGAAAGCCTGAGAGCAAAAGGTCTCTGTTCTTGAGACCGTGTTCTTTCTAAACTTCAGAGATTGTAGTGTTAGTTAGCTATTCTAAAAGGCTCCTTTTAATATTTTCTAAAATAAAAAAAAAAAACTTGCTTATTTTAAAAAGATATCCAAGTAACAACTTTGTTGCTTTTCTTTTTAAAAAAGTCCATAAGAAATTTGAGGTTTGATTTGAAGTGATAGGAACTTCAAGAGTTTGGTTTTGTTTTGTTTTTCCTTTTTCTTTTGGCAGAACCGGGGATTGAACTCAGGCCCTTGCCCTTGCCAGGCAAGCATTTATTGTACTGAGCCATCTCCCTGGCCCAAAATGTACTTTTTTTCTTTTAACTTTTTTTGGGAACTTCAGGAGTTTGAGGTTGGGTTAAAGAATTTCAAAAGCAAACACGTTATCTGAGAGTTTTCACTTCTTTTTCATTCCAAATCCTATTATTTACTACAAATTCTTAGCAACTCTTATGTAGTGGTAATAATGAAGCATCCTTTAACTGTGATTTGTTTACCATGAAGCAGCCTATAACCCAGCATCCTAGAGAAGCTGTCTCAGAAAGAGCTCTGTGCTACTGTCTATTGTGTGTGTGTGCACGCGCACATGTGTGCATGTGCGCATGCGCATACATGTATGCATATGATAGGAATGGTAGGTACCATTGCTTTACTCTGAGCCTGCCTTTGCTAATTTCAGAACTGGATTCTTTAAATTAACTGACCATGGACTAGAGGAGATTTCTTCCTGTCGCCAGAAAGGATTCCATCCACACAGCAAAGATCCACCTCTGTTCTGTGTATGTATCTACTGGGAGAAATTGGTGCTCTATTTTAAGCAAGAGAAACAGTCAGAGCCAGTGCATCACCTATTCTGAGCCACGTGGAAATTGAGGCTGTCAGTTAACTTTCCAAGTCCCCATTATAAGGACATATGTACATGGAGAGCAGTGTGGGATGGAATTAAATTTGAGTCACGGCTCTGCCATTTAATGGTGAGAGTGACAGAGATCTGTCTATCTTTGAGACCCTTCTAGGGCCTGATCTTTCTCATCTGTAAAATATGTATAATAATTGATTCTTTGTAGGGTGATGGAGAGAATTACTGGCTTGAACCACCACTGACCCATGCATGACTTGCCCATCCAGCAGCTTGTACCATCGGTGGTACATGCATGAGTGTCCCACCGGGTAGCATGGGACAATCCCATTGGATGGTACAAGTGCCCAGTGGGACAGTCATGCATGTATGGCCCTATTGTGAACTTAAGTAGAGACTGGAGATACAGCTCAGCAGTAAACTGTATGCTTAGCACGTGTGTGGCCGTGGGTTCAGTTCTTAGCACTGTCCCCCCATCCCTTGGCAATATATAAAGAACATCTAATCTAATGTAATTAAATGTTAGTTTTGTTCTTCATGCATTGCCATTGGTGAGGCCGCACTTCACGAAGAGATTTGAATGTAAAGGGAAAAAAGCCACTTAGGTCAATTAAATATATTTGGTTCTAGAAATTTGCTTAGATAATGGAGCTTTTTAAGACCTTCCTAGGAAGTTGTTTTCTCCCCTAAGTTCTAGTCAATCAGAAACAAGTTTAGTTGGTGATAAGATCACTGTGTCTCCACTTAGCCCGGATCAGAGTGACAGTTTTGCTTTTCTCCACCCTGGCCTGCAGTACTACTGCTTCTTCTTTTTGGGTTCAGAGAAAAATGACCAATTTGGAAACAGAAACTCAGAACTTTTTGTCATGTAAAAAGAACTGGGTCACAAGTTCAGATGCAGCCTGGACACGTAGTCACTTAATAAGATCCTATTTTAAAAAACCAAAACAAACAAGAAAAGAAAAACCTAGCTCAATGTGAAGGTCCTGGTTCAATCTCCAGTACTAAAAATATAAACAAAAAATACAAAAACAGAAAAAGAAAAAGTGGGGATTTTTATACCAAAAAAGCCTTAGGAAGTAACTAAGGGATAACTTCAAGTAATAAAAAGCTGATGCATAAAAAATACTATTACTCTCAGCACTAAAACTAAGACCTCAGGGAGTGATAGCTTTCAGCTGAATACAAAGAACTTTCTAGCAGATGTTCAAAATTCATTCTGCCTTGGATATAATAAATATGTAGGTACCAGGATGTTGAAATAGAGACTTCATACTCAGAAAAAAGCCAGGGACACAAATGCACAGGTTTCTAGTTACAGAGACTCCTGTTACATCCCCAAAGTGAATATTCTTCCTTGTGATAGTAAGTGTACTATCTAACAACGACTAAAAAAACCATAGTGACAGCTGATTCTTATAAATTAATATATATTTTGCAAACAGCTCTAGAATGTATGTGCCTTTGAAAAATAAAGATGTACAGGGAGACACTGATTCAGTCTAGAAGGAGGACTTAGTGAAAGCAATGATTCCCAGGTCTGTTACCATTATTGTCATTTAAGTAGCAGTCATGCTTTCAGATATTTAAATGAGCATTTTAAATGAGAAGTCTTTAAAAAATGCCTTTTCAGAGTTTGCTAAGACTTCACCTTTCCTTTTCTGTGTTGCAGAGCTGTAACCATGTGACTGTTGTGGACAGAGCAGTGACCATCATGGACCTTCGATGAGAATTTGACTCACACACCTGAGAACTGTAAACCTTATCTGTGTACTGTAGCCCCTTGATCTGAGCTTTCCAGGAAGATCTGGAAGCTTTTTAAGACAGAATAAGACCTGGATATCACTTGGGGAAGAACTGATTTTCTGTATCAGTTTGAAATGAAGAAACTGGATATGTCTTTTTAGACAAATCTGGAAAGGATCATGATCACAGAAAAGCCAACTAACTTGAAAATTAAATTGAGAGACTGGTATAATCAAGACTCACATACCTTTCTTTCTAGATTCACAAATTGTTCACTTTCTGTTGCTCTCGTCTGTCTTCTAATTTCCCTGCCAACTTGTTTATTATCTACCTTCGGACTAAATGAGAGCGTCTCTGCAGAAATTTGAAGCCATTTAGAAATGCTTTGGGATTGTCCTTCAGTTTAGGCAACTGATTACCAGGGGGAGGAGCAGATGGTGAGGCTCAGGAACCCTGAAGAATGATGTTATCAGAAATTATGTTATTTAACAAACACTTCAGGATATTTTTCCTCTATAATAAAGTAATACTAAACTTATTGGGTTCTAGAGTGATCAGTTCGAGCGAGCTTCGAATGAACAACTTGAATGAAAGGTCTGGTTGAGAGGGAGGTAAGAGGGAAGGGCATTTGAGATGTGCTGACATAGAGATGTGTCCCCGCCTCACCTTTAACTGTTAAGTGTTTTTCCTCTGCTACTGTCTTCCAGGGGCATGAAGTCACCTCTCTTCTGGTGCTGTCTCAACTGGGTCACCTGTTTGTTTCCTCCTTGCACCCCACAGACTTTCAGCTGATGGTAGTAGGTTACTCTTCAAGTAAATGGTAACATTCCCTAGCCACTCCTCCTCCCAAATTCCACTGTGGTGCCTGTTTTTTTTCTGACTTGAACAACACTTAGGAATGTGTCTGGAGCTGTCATTGCTGAACCTAGTGTTCTAGGGTAGCCTAGAAATAGTGTTGGCACTGGTGACACTTAACATGAGGGAAGTACAGTAAATACTTTGAATAGAAGACTAATTTATTTCTATATCAGAATGATAGTGGTGGGGTAAATATATCAAATTTTGCTTCTCTTCAAAATTTTATGTCCTGAATGTGTCCAGTCTTTATTGCTTAAGTTATTGGTCATTCAGTTTTTTTCCCCTGGAAGAATCAAAATTTTATTTCTTCTTTTCAATTCTTAACTCCCAAGATATCAGGAATTCTTCCTTCTGACGTCTTTGGGGTAAGGTGGACTAGAGGAGCCAAGAGGGTTTGACTCCCCTGCTATGACCCAGAATTAGCGTGCCTGTTCCTCTTTGTCCTGAGCAGTCCCCAAATTCCCCAGTGCTGTGCTTTCCAGGAAATCTGTGCCCTCCTTCTAATTATTTTGGGGTTACAGTGCCTTCTGCATGGACTGTAGCAGTACGCTTGGGTCTCTGGGTTGGGTGTTTCTTCCTGCACGCACTACACATTATAGTCACCCTCATATTTCCTCTCTTGCTTAGAAACCTACAGTAGCTTCCTAGCTACAAAACTCTATAAATGTAGTCTTTATTGAGAACTTTCCTCTTAAGGCCATGTAAGTTTCTTACATCTGTCTATACTTTAAATACTTGGAGAACTTTCAAAAAGAACTGGTGACCATACCCTCCCCATAGCAGTTAAATCTGAACCTCTGAGGTGGATGCTAGACGTTTTTGTTCTGTCTTTTTTTTTTTTTTTTTTTTCCTGTCTTTAAAGCTGCTAGGATTCTCAAGTGGAGCCAGAGCTGAAAACCAAAAAGTAGTCCTTGATACCCAGAGTTATGACCTCTTTTCCATCTCTACACATCACTGACATTCAGTGGATATTTTTGGAGCCCAAGTGAACCGAAGGTATTGTGATCACATTAATTACCAACTGGTCACCAAACTGCCACATTTTCTTGCCTCTGCTGCTATGCACACTATATCTTAGAGGCAGATGGGTGCAGTGGACTAGTCTACAGATGCTCCCTTTGCACCTGCTGCCATCTAGGCTCCCAGGGCACAAGATGCAGTGTCTCTCTCTGCTCTATCCGGGTGGGAGAGACCTGGTATAAAAGCCCATAAGGAAGCAGGGAGGCTGAATAGGCAAGTGGGAAGAAGGAACTAGAGCAGTGGGGGAAAAGGAAAGCGATATTGTGAATAAAGGGACTTAAACCATGAAACTGAGGCCAAACCTGTTTTGGAAGGGTCATGACTACCTGACTACAGAGATTGGTACCTGGGCTCCAGCAGCTCAAAGGCCAGGGCCTTTTTCCACTCTCTCAAGCTAAAGTTGTAGGCCAAGAGGGGAGGCAGAGGCAATGCCTGCTTGCGTTGCAATTGACCTCCAAAGCACAGACCCTCCAGTGTACCACAAGCCAGTACCAAGAGGCTCTGAGCACTGCTTTGCCAGGAGACAGACAGGGTGGGGCTGGGCTTTCACGTGATGACTTGCACGAACTCCTACTTAAATGGAACTAAAGAGGAAGAAGAACCCTGAAGCCTTGAGGATATTCTCAAAGGTATCCAATTGTCTTGGTTACTTTTCTCACTGCTGAGACAAAATACCTGACAGGAAATCAAAGGAAGAAAGGCTTATCATAGCTCATGGTGTGCAGAAGTTTCAGTTCACAGTGGCATAGCAGGTCATCACAGAAGAGAAACCGTTCATGGTGAGCAGAAGGCAACAAAGCCACGAGGCAGTAAGGAAGCAGTGAGTATAACAGGGCCTGGGCCCCACATTGATGGCTTTTGGGTTGCATTCTTCCTAGGTGTTGCAGTCAGGGTTTACAAGGAAAAGGATTAAATACTAGACACATAGATTATAGGCTTATTTTAGAATAGAATAGTTGCCCAAAAATGTTCTTTGGGTGAGGTTTGACAGGACTAGACACTGCCAAGGGCAGAACTTTAATGAGTAAAAGTACATTGAATCCTGCAATAAGTTTGTTCAGAGATTTTTTTTTTTTTTTTTTTTTTAGACAGAGTCTTATTATGTAGCCCAGGCTGGTCTCGAATTCACGGCAATCCTGCCTCCCATGTACCGTGATTGGAGACATGTGCCACTTGAGCCCAGTAGATGTATTTTAGAGAACACAGTTTTAGGGCCAGACCAGATGTTGTTCCCTAGCAAATAGTTTAAGTTCAGTCTTGGTATTTTTACCTCTGAATCCCCTTATATCTCACTGTTTTAAGCCCACCCAGGTGTAGAGACCACTTTGCCCCAAGAATCCTTAAAGCAATTGAGCCCAGAGAGGAGCTTCTGGGTCGAGCATTATTTCTTCTTGGGTGGAGCTTTGCTTGGAGCACCGAGAGGGTCTGTTTGGATCAGAACCACTGGAACATTATCCTCTGGAGAGAAAAGTCCAGTTTGAATATATAAGACTATGCTTCAGGCTCAGCTGTTCATCTCCCCATGAGTCAATCCTACAACTTGCAAAGTTCCTGTAAAGTCTATAAAATGGGGTAGATCTAATATGCCAACCTCAAATGAGGGCAAAATGGCATTTGTATGTAAATAAGGCCTATGAGAATTGAAAGATGTTCTAAAGACTTAGAAATTTTTTTCTTCCCCTCCCTCCCTTCCTCCTCCCTTTTCACCCTGTCTCCCTCTCCTTTGCCCTGAGATCAACCCCCAGACCTTTGCTCTGAGCTATATCTCCAGTCCAACCCTTCACTCCCCCCTCCACCTTTTGAGACAGGGTCTCGAGAAGTTACAAAGTTGTCCAGTCTGGGTTCAAACTTGCCATCTGCCTGCCTCAGCCACCCCCAATACTGGGATTACTGGCATATATCGCCACACCCAGCTATTTTTTATATCTCTTGAAATTCCTGTTGGCCTTCTGACCCATGCACCTTCGAACTAAATGACTCTTCAGACACATCCATGTTCTCTACCACTAGCGGGGATTCAACACCAAAGCTCTGGCCTGCGCTTATGCTCTCAGCTGGAGAATCAAGGCCCTTGGGAACCGTAAGGATCATTTTAATTTCCACTTATTTTCCCTAAAGTCCTGGGTAGAGCCAGGATCTAAAGAGATTATGCATTTCTTTCCCTTGGTACCACCACTCTTGTTTAAACCTCTCACTTTCCTTGTTCCAATTATTTCATGAGATCAAGGAAGAGGATTATAATATAACCTTCACTCAAGTTTTACTCCTATAAGTGAAGTCCAAATTTTAGTCTTCACTTACCTGAGGTTAGAAGTGGGGTCTTAAACTTCACTGAGTCTGTTACATCCAGAATCCAGCCCTGTGGCCCTGCATGTGGCCAGTGGTGGCGCATCTGTGGCATCTCTGGCAGCTGGCTATTTGTTATCAAAGCTTTTAAAGGTTTGCTACCCCTGCCCTAGGCTCTTGTGTCCTTTGGTGGTTAAACATTCCTCCCTTAAGGTTGGGTTTAAGCTCTACTTCTAGTGATTTCTTTTACTGGTAAATTTACTCAGAGGGCTTCCTTAAACTCCAATGGCATTTTTAGTCTATTTCCCACAATTTGTTGTATTTTTTTACTATTTTGCAAAGTGTTCTTATTGCCTTTTTAAGAGAGTCATGTCTCTGAATTCTCACATAAATTCTCTTATGGTGGAGAATTTGCTTTTCACTGTGTTAAATGCATTTCACTCAGTTTACTTCTTCCCTATTGCTTGGCTATTCCTTGAAATAGTGTTCTTACTATTGAGTCATGTTAGGAAGCCAGCTAGACCCATGGCCAAATGCCGGGGACCTCTACCCCACATCTTGGGCCCATACTAAAATTACCCTCTCTATATAATTGCCAGCACATATAGTTGTCTGTCCCACAGGCTTAGTAATGGGTGGTCAGAGGAAGGTGTACAAAGAAGTCTAAAAGGGGGAGGACAGAGAGCTATGAGGAGACAGGAGCTAGTGGCACCACTGTCTTGCTGGAGAAACTACGGAAGGCAGTTGTTTGAAGAGGGATATCAGGCCTAGAGGTGTAGCTCAGTATAAAGCATTTGGCTAGCTTTTGTGAAGCCTTGGGTTCAATGTGCATAAGCACAAGCAAGTAAATAAACAAAAACCAAGAAGGACATTGTGTTGCCAAATGGCTCAGAAGAAGCTTTCTGGGATTTGGTAGTTTGCAGAGGCCTTTCCAGACAACTACACTGGCAAGTGTTTTTAAGCTGCCACTCTATCACATCCACTTCTTTACTGTCTGTATATCACTGTCAGTAGCTGAAATAACTCCTGTTTATTTCTAGGATGGATGGAT